AAGGAGAAAAAAAAAAAAAAAAAAAAAAAAAAAAGAAGGAGAGACCATAAAACAGTTCACAAACTCCAAGACTCATCCTCAAGTGCAACATGCATGGATTCAATCCTGAATACTCCGCAAAAGAATTTCCAGACTCAACCACATGCAACTTAGGTCACTACCTGGCCAGTGAGAGTCATGCACTGGGGAAGACCTAGTGGTTTTGAAGCACAGCCTACAGAGAGGTAGGAACCATAGCCTATATCTAATCTGTTAAGTTACTACTGAAACAAAAATATCAATATTCTTCATAGAGTAAAGAAGGACGCCACACCCTGCAAGTGCTCAAAGTATTCAGGATGAAATTCAAAATTATTTATTCTGCATATGAAGAACCATGGAAATTACAACTTCCATGGGAAAAGACTTCAATCAGGAGGAGCTATAGCTGAGACAGCATGGCTTTGGAGCCACACCTCAAGGCAGTCGTAGAAAATGCTTGTGCGAGAGATTATAAACAGGTCCACACTCACTTAACGGACTCAGTAGCAGATGGGAACTGGCACAAGCTAACAACATATAGGGAAAGACCTGGGGAGAGGACATAATAGAACTTTAGGGACCAAAGGAACAAGTAAAACAGGACTAAGGTTAATCTAACCAGACTCCAGAAGGACACGAGAAAGAACACAGGGCAGGCAGTACAGCCAGAAGGAAAAATGACTGAAAACTCGCTGTGAACCTACAAATTCGAGAAGTAAAACAGATGCATGTAGAGTAAACCCAGAGAATGCTACATCTAGACACACACAGCCAAATTGCTGACAACTAAAGACAGCTTTAAAGCAACCCTGGTGTCCCAAGAGACACACTACCCATGTACACATCTGCTCATATGCCTTCCTCCCCAGGTGGAAACTTTTGACACACGTGTTATAAACCAGGAACTTTTGCTAGAGAAAAAGCAGCAGCAGTTGTCAATCATCTCAGCATAAGACTGAAAGGGAAATATTTATAGTCGAATCTCCTTTGCTTTTGCGTCCTAAATCAAAAAAACACCTAGAATTGCTGCAAATTTGTTTTGTGGGAAAGTATGAATTGAACCCTTGTCGGGGCATTTACCATCATTTTTGCATTTGCAAATCAAAATTTGTGCACATGTTGCTATATTTATTGGAGAAATAAAACATAATAAATCTCAAAAAAAGAGCAACCAATTGATATAGAGATCAATCTATCTACAAAGAAAAAAGATACTGGGATACAATCTGTGCAGCTATCGGATGTCATGGTGGCTTGAAAAGGTATGGCCCCCATAGACTCAAGTTTGAATGCTTGGCCTATAGGAAGTGGCATTATTAGATGCATAGGTGTGGCCTTGTTGGAGGAGGTGTGTCACCGTGGGGGTGGGCTTTTAGGTCTCAGACTTGGCTCCTCCAGTGTTGAACATAAAGCAGAAAAGCCTCAGATCCCATCAATGGTCTCAATCCAAGCACAGCCAGTACCATTTTATTATAAACACAGAAGACAACTGGTGGGGAAAAGTGTTTGGTGTTGCTAAGATACAAGTTTGCAGGCAGAAGCACAAAATTGTGCTTTGGGAATAACACTTCACAGAGAAATGAATTTCGTTGACAGGTAGATTAGTCTAGTGGGACCTCTTATTTGTTTGTAACTTTTATTTTCTAATGAAACAAGAAATTTAGGTCACAGACTGTTGACAAAGACCTCAGGGCTTCCTTAGACCAAGGACATTTGGACATTAAGGCTTGAATCCCGCATTTGCAGATCCTCTGTGGCTTACTTACTTAAATTATTATAAGACTAACTATTAACTACAAGGAGAAAAAGAGTAATGCTGTTTTTAAAAAAGTTTTTTAGCTGAAATTAAGGTGAAGTAAACACGGTCATTCATTTCCCAGTGTTTCCTTTGCTGAACATAATGAAGAAACCCCAGAACTAGTTGGAGTAACAAGTCACATAATCAGAAAGATGGGCAATCCTGATGTTAGGTTCTTGTGGTCTCCGAAATGAAAACTTCTGTCTATGTCCAAGAATGCAGAAGTGAGTTAGAAAGGAGTCATTTCTGCACGGACTGATGAGAGAACACCAGGAGCAGATACAAACAGCGCCGATCATGTTTAGAACTCAGCAAAATGTGGCTATAAAAAGGTTGCCTGTTAACTCATTTAGTTAAAACAATTTAAATACATTTTGGAAGGTATTATTCTAAATACAGAACACTAAAATGTAAAAATGAACGCAATATATTTCAGTATATAAAGCGTAATTGTTGAAAGTAGACAACTTGTTGGTTTTGTTTGTTTCTCAATGATCCAGGAAGCCTGGAATCGTCTTTGAATGGTCTCTAATTCTTAGTATTGGTGAGCTTTGGTAATTCGCTCACCTTGAGCGAGCCAGATCCGTGACTCACTTCTGATTGGCTAGGATATGACAAAAAATGACGAGCGAGAAGTCCCGAGGCTGCCTCCCACCTTCCGCTGCAGTGTGCTTTGGTGAAAAGTCAGTTGTCATGTTCAGGGATCCTATGGGGTATTTCAAAACAGTGCAAAATTACAAGCACGGCTTCCCCTTGGGAAAATCTGGAGTACGCCACCAGCATTCGACCCACAGGCATATAACTGAGCCTCAAACTCCACACATCCGATCGTTTTCTTTGATAATTCCCAGCTCTATCCATTCCATCTGCAACCTCACTCCCTGAATGAACGCCCATCAGCTCTCCTGGAGCGACAGTTCCCTAACTCGACCCACACCCACTTTCAACTTCATTCTTCAAGCAGACGGCAAGCTACGATAATTGTGACCGGCGTTCCACCTTCAGACTTTGCTCTACGTGCACACGCGGGTCTTCCTCTCTGGCACCTGCCGACTTCTTCATCTTCGGACCAACGGTCCTGTCATCCTAAGTCCCTGCTCGGGAGTCTCACTCCGTACGTTAGAGGAAAAGCCAAGGCGTTCCCTACCTCCGTGTGGACTGCGCTCTCCGCAAACGAAGAGGGTCCTCCAAACCCGACTGTCGAGCGGACAGAAAACTCAACATCTCGGTTCCGCTCACCGGCTCGAGGCCTGAGTGCCGCCATGACACAACTTGGCCCGATGTGTAACAACACGGTCTCCCATTGGCTCATCCGCGGTGTGACGTAACCAACGGGAAGCGGCGTTACTGGGAGGCGCGAGAACGCGAACCTGAGCGGTAGGCGGGGCCTCGTGTAGGCGGGCTCTCCCGGCCGGCGCGAGTCCCGGGACACTGAGCTGCGCGCGGCGGCATGGGCTGGTGGCGGTCTGCGCTGCGCTTCTTGTGGAGCTCTCTGTCGAAGGAGGTGAGGGAGCACGTAGGCACGGACCATCTGGGGAACAAATACTACTACATCGCCCAGTACAAGAACTGGAGAGGTGAGAGCGAGGAGCGGCTGCGGGTCGGTGCGCCTCCCGGGCCGGTGCCTGTCACCGCTATCCGTGGCCGGGCCTCGAGTGTCCCGGCCTTTTCTCCCGGCGTCCGAGGGCTAGGTCGTTGCCTTGGGTGACGAAGCCTGGACCTCTTAGATCTTCCAGAGGTGTTTGGGAAGCATCGGGCAAAGCTTTTGCATCAGTGCCCAGCCAGCCTGGTCTTCTGCTCCTGGCTGTCAGTCTTCAGAGTTTACGTTTTCCAGTAGCGCTGTGGCTGGGGCGCTCGCCCTTGTTACCATCTTTATCTTATAACTATGAAGTATCCACACACACCGATCTTTTCTAATTAGCAGTTCCAATTTCCTTTCCAGGGAGTCTGCGTCCCAAAACCCTGTGCAGGTCGATTTCAGAGAAGGATCTCTAAAGATGTTTTCAAGAAGTGGAGCGTGTTGTTTGGGGGGGGGGGGTGCTTCATTTTAGCCAGGCGGCGGTGCCACACACCCTTAATCCCAGCATTTGGGAGACTGGGGCAAGGAATCTCAGAGTTCGAGGCCAGCCTGGTCTACAGAGCGAGTTCTAGGATAGCCAGAGAAATCCTGTCTCTAAAAACAAAACAAAAGAGGAGTTCCTTTTTGTTGTTGTTGTTTGACACCGTGCCACATAGCGGCTTTCACAGCGTCTTCTGCTTTTCTCTATTGCTCCATTGTAGAATCTCAGACGTGGAAGAGGAAAGAAGTTGGGTTAGAACCTCAGCTCTGACTGAGGTAGCCGAGGGACAAGTCATTTATTCTCGCCTTGTCTCAGTGATCTTACGTTAAAGAGACAGTAATAGTGTCACTACTGGGACACCTGAAAACCCATTTAACACTGTTTTCGTTTACTTCTCACACTTACTAAGTATGTTAAATGTTTATGTAAAATTGTTTTTACTTAGCTTTTAAAAAAGATTTTTAAAATTTATGTGTACTGCCTGCATTTATGTATGTATGCCATAGAGGTCAGAAGAGGGCATTTCCTGGAACTGGAGTTAAAGATGGGAGATGGGATTTGAACCTTTGTCTTCTGTTAGTGTAGCAATCACTCTTAACCTCTGAGCCATCTCTCTCCTGACCCTGCTTAGCCCTTTTCTATAACTCACTACCGTAGACTTTTTTTTTTTAACCTACTGAGCATTTAAATATGGTCTCCTTGCTTCCTATACCCAGACAACCACGGATCTGATTTCTAACATGATGGACTGATTGTTCTGCATTTTCTACAAGTTTTATCAGTGAAAACGTATAGTAACTCTCCAGATTTCTTTCTGAGTTCTTCAGTTATGATAATTTTGAAATTCACCCTCCGGTGTACCAAAATGTTAACTCTATGCTAACGTTCCAGTGGAATGTAATGTAGTTTGCTTATTCATTCACCAGTTCACAAATCTTTAGATTATTACCAGTTTAAGGCTGCCACAATTAATCATTAACATCCGTGTAGTTACGGCTTTATATAGATAAAGTTCAGCTCTCTTTTAAAGGGTCTGCAAGGAGAATGGCTTTACCAGCCAGTAGATGTATGCTTCATTTTGTAAGAAATAAAATGTCCATGGTGGTGCACGCCTTTAATCCCAGTACTTGGGAGGCAGAGGCAGGTGGGTCTCTGAGAGTCTAGGCCAGCCTGGTCGACAGAGTGAGTTCCAGGACAGCCAGAGCTACACAGAGAAACATTGTCTCAAAAGAAAAAAGAAAAGGAAGGAAGAGAGGAAGGAAACAGACCCTTGAAGTGACCCTATTAAGCTGGGTGTGGTGGCACACACCTTTAATCCCAGTTTGTGGCCAGCCTGGTCAACAGAGTGAGTTCCAGGACAGCCAGGGACACACAGAGAAACCCTTTCTCGAAGAACAAAAACAAACAAAACAGGGCTGGAGAGATGGCTCAGAGGTTAAGAACACTGATTGTTCTTCCAGATGTCCTGAGTTCAATTCCCAGCAACCACATGGTGGCTCACAACCAATCTGTAATGAAATCTGGTGCCCTCTTCTGGTCTGCGGGCGTACATGCAGACAGAACACAGCAAACAAAATAAATAATAAATCTTTAAAAAAAAAACAAACAAACAAAACAGTACTGATATCCTTGTATATCACCAGCACCCAGGCTAGAGGGGTCCCTTTTTCTTTTTTCAGTTAATTACTTGGTTCCTCGTGAAATCTCAGTTTTCCTGTACCCTCCTTTTACTATGACTAAATGATTTTGTTTTGTTTTTTGTTTCCAAGGACTAAGGAAATGGCCTACTGCTTATGATACTCGTTCAGCAAACAGGAGGGTCTGAGTTTCAATCCCCAGCAGCTACATAAATAGCTAGGCATGGCTGTGTGTGAGCCAGGCATGGCTGTGTATACCTGGCAACCCTAGTATTTCAGAAACAGGCAGGCAGCTCTGACAGACGGGTGGTGCATGGTCAGGCAGACTAGCCAGGAGGCAAGTTTCCAACTCAGAGACAGTGTCTCAAGGTAATAAAGTAGAGAATATAAGGGAAACATCTGCCGTCCAGCTCTGCCCTCCACGTGTGTGTGCACAGGCATGTACACTGGCACACTCAGGTATGTGCAATGCACACAGAACTCACACACAGCGCAAGCTTTATTTCCAAATTCAAATGCTATAAATTGGTCCACATCTCACATTTTGACATGTCAGAGATTGATCTAACTGTACAGTCAGAACACAGAACAGGTGCTGCCTTCAGCATCTCCCACATGCTAGCCCTTAGTAGTTATCCACATGTCAGAGATTGATCTAACCATATCACAGTCAGGACACAGAACAGGCACTGCCTTCAGCATCTCGCACATACTAACCCTTAGTAGTTATTCTCTCAGTTCCTAACCTTGGTAACTGATTATTATATTAATCATCATTTTGTCTTTATGAGAATATTATTCAGAGAGAGTCATAACATATGTAACTTTTTGAAAATGGCACCTTCTATTCTGCATAATAATGCCTTTGAGAGTCACTATGTTTCAGTGGTTGGTATATACGTGTGTGTGTGTCTGTTTGTGTGTGTGTCTGTGTGTGTGTGTATAAAATTGCTGACTTACAGTACTCCATGCCAAGGATACACTGTAGTTTGTACATTGACCCATTGATGACCACTTGGGCTGCTTCCAACTTAGGGGGCTTAGGAATAGAATTGTCATAAACATTCGCTTGTGGATTTTGCATGAACGTTTGTTTTCATTTCTCTAGAGGCATGACTGATTTTTAGCCTTTTATAACACTTATTAATTTCCATACAAGCTCAGTAGCTCCAACTTTCTCTGTAAAATGTAAACAAAAAAAAAATGCTCACCTGGCATCAGGAGACATTTTTGGAACTCAAGAAATAAATTAGATAATGTCTCTTTAAGAGAGTGAGATTTAATGTCACAGTCTACTTGAGTTGAATTTGGACTTGGTTCTTTGATTTATCACTTGAGTTTTCAGCATAAGGAGTGTTCATATATTTTGTTTTATTTGTTTAGAAATTTATTGTGTTTGATATTATGAAGGGTACTTTTCTTCTTTGAAGCAACCTTCCTATGTAGTTTTGACTGGCTTGGAGCTCACTGTGTAAAGCAGCCTGACCATGATCTCAAAGAGGTCCACCTGCCTCTGCTGTTCCAGTGATGGGATTTTTATTTACCTTCTTTGTTTGCATGAGGGCATGTGTGTCTGTGTGTGTGTGTGTTCCTGTGCACATGCCTGTGTATGGAAACCAGAGATCAATGTCAGTGTCTTCAGTCACTGCCTTCCCAGAGCTCTCTGCTACCGCTGGATTGGCCAGCCAGCACGTCCTAGGGATCCTCCTGTCTCCACCTCCTCAGCACTGAGATTTCAGGAATATGCTGCAGAGCTGGCTTTTTACATGGGTGCTGGGGAATTGAACTCGGGTCCTCACACTTAAACAGCAAGCACTTTAACCATGGAACCATTTTTCTAACTCAGTTTTAAAGATTCCCTTTGTAAGCTTACTAGTTCCTTGCTCTTCTCTGATAGTTCAGAGAACTAAGCTAAAATTGCAAAAGCTGAAACTTCGATTGATTTAATCAATTAATAATTACTTGTTTATTTATTTATTGTGTGTGTGTGTGTGTGTGTGGGTGAGTGGGTGGCATGCCTGTGCAACAATGAAATTGTGGATGTCACAAGACAGTTTGGGATTGTCTGTTCTCTCCCTCCACTGTATGAGTTTTGGGGTTCACACTCAGGTCGTCAGGCTTGGAAGCAAGCACCTTTGTTTTTGGAACCATCTGACTGACCCATGGCTTTATTTTTAGATCTGTTTTAGGTTTACAGAAAAGCTGACTGGAAGCTACTAACATAGTCTCTTTACACTACCGGTATCTTGCATTGGTGTGTTCCCCATTTTCTCCATCCCACTTAATCTGTAGTGATCACTTAGCTTTTACTGTCGTTATAATTTCATTTTTTTTCCTAAGGTGCCATAGAGTTGTAATTACATATTATATAACCTTCTTAGATTGGCTTTTCACTTAATTACATTATCTCCTTTTTTGTGTGTGTGAGACATAATGGTTTTCTTTCTTCCTGTCTTCTTTCTGTTGATTATATGCTGGAATATGTTTATTGACTTTTTAAGATTAGTAGACTTTATTTTATGTATTTATTTTAAAGTTATGGGTTTTTTTTAGATTTTATTTATTTCTATTATATGTGTTTTGGTGTTTGGGTGTTTTGCCTGTTTGTATGTCTGTGCCTGCCATGCCCAGGAGGCTACATGAGGGTGTCAGGTCCTCTGGAGCTGAAGTTATGAACTGCCATGCAGGTGCTAGGAACTGAATCTCAGTACTCTGGAAGAGCAGCCAGTGCTGAGCCATCTCTCCAGCCCTGTCTTCATTCCTCTTTATAGCTATTTCTCCTCCTCCCCCGTGTGTGTTTGTATGTCACTAGTATATGGGTGCCCACAGAGGCCAGAAGAGAGCATAGGATCCTCTAGAGCTAGTTATAGGAGACTATCC